GGCGATTGTTATGGTTTCGGGAGTTGTGAGCAAGGAAGGCCTTCGCATAAACGCTTTTGCATATGTCGAAGTTTAAGAAGCAGTTATGGAACCCTGGCTAGATAGTGTACGTGGTGGGAGGCTACTCGTAAATATTCCAACAGAACTCTGTTCCTTCATACATGGAATTCTGGCAGGTGATTCTTGCTCAAGCTGTTTTTATTGGATTTTCTAAGAAATATACGAATTCTAGTTCAAAAATCGGTATATCCTCAAATACCTAAGGCTCCTGTATTTTATGTTCACTCTATGAATTGCCATGAGATGATATTAGAGCGATGATAATTTAGTTTCTGAAATATGTTTTCACTAAAGATGGCAGAACGAAAGGAAAAATATGTACTCCTTAATTTAGATGAAATCGAAGCGGATAAAGCAATTTGCATTTATCGTACTATCTATTTATGTTCTTTGCTGAAGACATACGCAATTACTTATTACAAAAGAAAACCAGAATAGATTATCGCATACTTATACATGCAAACAAGCACATCTCTAATTTGGCCATCCATTTTCACACAATTTACAATTTATCTGTGATACAAAATTGTTGCAATTTAATGAAATTTTGCCTACTAAGCAGCAAGCAGTAAACTCTCTGCCACGTCAACATCCATGCGGAAATCCCACACACAAATCATGGCCTTGACGACAACAATTAAGCCTCACAGATAGTTGAACGCTTTGATGATAATGTTTTCGGAAAATTTTATAGCATCTCAATGGGTGCCGCACGTACCACAAAGTCGCTTTTAAATTTTGTCATTTTCATACGAATTTCCATAGAAATGTTCTCATTCCACCAACCAATGACTTGTAATTAATGGGCTTGATAATGTGCTGTAAGTAAGGAAATTACAAAACCATACAATGTCTCCCGTATATGTATGTATGTACATATATGCGTTTTACGCGCATGTGTTGTACGTGTGGCGGATTCTGCATTAATTATGTGTTGAATCCTTGGAGATTGTCCGCAGACAGTTAGTAAAGCGAATGAAATTGTAGATGTTTGTTTGACAATTAAATCCCAGATTTTCTACTAGAGAAGCAGCTGTACCTTTAAGTCGCTTAAAAACTTTACGTGGAATGCAAATGTCTGTAAGGTTGCTTAAACAACTTATTCAAGCTGAACGGAGCTGCAGTAAGTTTTGCTGTTATTTGCTTTAATAAGTCCTACTTGTTTCGTTTGGGCGTTCTATATTGCATACTTTCGGGCACTATGTGCTAAAAGTCGCCTCAGCAGCTGAACTACAAAAGTCATGAAGTTTCCAAAGTCGAATCCTTAATAAGCAGCACGGCACCGCGCCAGGTTTCGCGAATGAAATTTCAAAAAGCTTTGTGTTGTGCATACATACTTACGCCAGTTGTGGCTTTCATCAAAAATTTTAAGCTAAAAGCATATGCAATTTCCCTAACCTCTACCCGATTGCGCTGTGTAATAAGAAAAACATTTCACACAGTACATATGTAGCTACTTTTAGTTTTTCTTTGCACTTTTTGCATTGTTGCTAAGTCAACTTTACACTGATGTAATGGAGCTTTCAAAAGTCGATTATTACAAGAGCCCAATAGAGATTGTATGCAAAGAAAGTAAATTACAAAAACAAAGTTACTCAACACTAACATGGCTTTAATTCTACTTGACGCTTGTACATTAGGGTGGTCCAAAAACAGTAAAGTTCTATACGGAAAAATATACCTCTATTTTTTGTGTTGAAGTCGAAAAAAATTTAGAGAGTGCTCGAAGCGCTCAAAGTTTCCCTTATATTTTATACGAAAAAAAAACAACTCTTCGCAGAAATGATATAGAATTCTTGAAAATAAATATTTTTAAATCCGAAAACTCACAATAATAATACCCAGTTGCTCATTTAACCATTTTTTAATACTAAAGATTTTTATTTATCCCTTCATTGCATTTTCTAGGGGTTTTGGCTGACCTAGGTTATACTTTTTCGGTATATAACCATCCTAGTGGTGGCGGCATTAAAATTCCGACTTTACTGTTTTTGGACCACTCTAATGTGCATATGCATGTGTATTGTTTTATTTTAATTTTTCATTTTTAATTTTTCGTTTTCGGATTTTTTTCCGCAAACAAATCCGTAGTCAATCAATGCCTCAGCCAGCAATACGCAACCAGCTGTTGAAAAAGCAAGCACAACATCGAACAGAGTGCAAATCCTTCGCAAGTAAACATACATCCATACATATGTTTGCATGCAAAACACACGCGCACAGCAGGCGGGTAAATATTTGCAAATGATTGCATACAAACAGGCGCATACATTCAGACATATGTACATATGTAAATACAAACATGTGTGCGTATGTGTGTACGGCATACTTTGGTATGCTTAATACTTAAGTCTGTAAATACATATATGTACGTATTACGTAAGTAAGTAAAGTATATGCAACCGCTTGTTCGATTTCAGCGAAAAGTTTTAAATTTAATGATGAATTATGTAAACGCTTTGTGGCTTTTCTCATTACGACACTGCGTCGGCTGGCGCCATTTATTATCATTGTCGTTCAGAGTCTCTCTCACTTGAGTGACTATATTATTTAATGATATTGAATCACTCATGCGATATTGGATATATTTACATATTAACATGCACATACTATATTTAAACGCAAACGGAATCATTGGTATAGCTCGTTTATTCAGTCGGGATTGACTTTTTGATATTATCATCACATAATGTGGGCATTCAAATATATCGCATGTATGTTTATTAGACTGGTTAAAAAGAATCGATTATTTCTTCTTTTTTTTAATATGAAAAATATGTGAAAAAGGCGCCTACCAAAAGCGTAGCCCTCAACATTAGGATTTAGTGGTCGCTCAGCGCGAATTTCTATTTCCCATAAAAGTAAATAACACAGGAAATTTTTTTTTATTAGTATAACCGATTTTCATTGTACTTGGTTGGTATATATTCAAATAATTGGTACAACTACTTTTTTAGTGGTCCCATTATTATCGCATATTGTGACAATTTTTTCCATATCGGCCAAATTATATACGCGACGATAATCGTGACAACATGATCACACTAACGTGCTTGATTAATAATAACAATAAACAAATTGTCCAATTTGCTCGCAATTTTTACAATTCGATTGTTCTACAATGAGCAAAAGAGTGTTCACATTATCGGTACAGCAATATTAATTTTGGTTGCTTATAGTCAGCACAATTTCGGCTTATTTGGAAAAATTGTGTTTGCTACCACTATCAGTAGATGAAATGCGCTGTGAATCGGCCCATTGCGCTGGTAATGTGATCTTAGCTTAAAGTCAAATTTGTACATTTTTTATATTGCGCTAATGTTACAGAATGAAAAATTTAGGATGACAATTTTTTTTTGGAATTTCTATTGAAAAATTTGAACAAATTGTTTTTAGTGACGGGGATAAAGAAAAATATTTGTACATGATTTGGATGCAATTTGCAACAAATTTGGGGCAAATACCCAATAGTATGACCCTGGCTTAAATCAACATATGTTCGCGCGATATATATTTTTGAGCGAATTTGATGGCTGTACAAAAATTCTATTTTGATTTTTGCATAAATTCACTGCTCCAAAAGTTATTCAAGATTGAATTCGAACGTATACCAAATTTAACTTCTTTAATTTTAGGCAAAAGGTTAGAATTTATCACCGAACATCATACAATATTTATTAAAGCTTTTATAATTTTTGCTTCTCTTTGAGAAAAAGATCGTTTTACAATTTCTGCTCCCACATATTGACAAAATTTGGGTATACATTTTTTTATTATTTAACTCTAATTATTTTGTATAAAAGTATAGTTTATTGATTGACAAAAAAAGTTTAAAAGTGGATGCAATCTTTAAAAAATATTCAACAGACATTCGTAAAAATTTCGAGCTTAATGGGCTACAAAACTGCATAATCAGTTTTTTTAAAAATCGATTTGATAAATTTAAAATGTCGATGAAAATTTCTTGGTATTTCTTGCGTTCACCCGAGTTCTGTATGAAATTAAAAAACACGGATTCTTGCGGTTTTTGATTTTGAATGAAAAATAAAAAAAACTTTGGTATGGAAAATATAATTGAATACAAGGAATTTTAAGCAAAAAAAAAAAACCGACTTTAACTCATATAAAAAAAATATATATATATATATATATATATATATATATACATATGTCTCATGATCCACTGATCGGATCTTAACCAGATTAGAATGGGACCACCTCTGAGACACTACCTTTGCGATGCAAAACGAATTATCGAAATCGGTCGTGGTCCAAAGTTATGCGGTAACATACATAAAAATAATAATAAAAAAATAAAATTAAAATAAAAAAATATTCCGACGAACTCATAACCTCCTCCTTTTTTTGAAATCGGTTAAAACTACTCAAAACATCAAGGTATGCATATTTTTTACGTTGACTGTATATAGAAATCACTTTTTCTAAGAAAATTAAAAATTATAAAATTTCCCAGAAAAATTTTATTATAAGTAATGATTAGTTTTGCCGTTTTGCCGGAAATTAAAATAAAAACCGTTAAATTTGTTATGTGTTCGAATTTAACCGTGAACATTTTTTGGAGAAGTGAGTTTATGAAAAAATCAATAGACTTTTTATTACAGTCTTCAGTTTCTCTGTCCCGAAAATATTTCACAAAGGAAAAATCCTTTTTTTTTCAACAAGTCTAATGCTAATGCGATTCACTGAATTTTGAATGGAGTGGGAAACAAAATTTAGGTTTGATTTTATACTCGCTGTATAAAATACTATTTCGATCAAACATTTTTTTCAAACTTTTTTATTTTTTGTTCTTTCGAAGACAATTCAAAATTATAATAATAATTAAAATAATTTATGTGCTTAAATATTAGTTGTTTCAATCTAAATTTTCTGTACTAAAAACAAATAACAAATTCGCCTTAAAATATTACGCTACTCACCTATCTATAAGATAAATTGATAGATTTTGCATTACACAAAATAGCCCCACACAAAAATCAGCCAATGCCAAATTTGCCAAGAAAAAATTGGTTATCGAACGCAGGCGGCGCGATAGGGTTACCACGAGTATCACGAGCAAATTTCCTGCAATGGAAGAAAAATGTAAATGTTTATTAATTTTTTTTCCGTACATTTTTTTTCGTAAATGCATACAATTTTTTAAATGCAGATTTTTCACTAACTAAGCCTGAGTTAGTAAAGCAGTACGAAAGTTAACTTGGACTTCTTCAAGCCAAGCTGTGTATGAAAATAAGAAATTTCCATCGATTTTTTTTTTTTTTTTGTACATTTACGCAGTTAATTTACTCAGCTTGGATTAACATAAATCATAAGCCACATCCTGCAAGCAAAATAGTTTTTAAAACAAGCAAAATGCCAGGCGAGAGGGAGAAATCAGCATATTTGTCGGCGGCATACACACAAAGAATTATAATTAGCGTAAACGAGCCAAAACAAAAAAGGAAGAAGTGACTCGCAAGGCAATGTGCCGCAAAATCACTACTAGCCTTACTAGCAGCCTTACTTGACGCAACTGCCTGCTTCAGCAACTACGCAGTACCGAATACCGCGGATTCTTGTGCAACTTATTTTACAGTAGCTTCACTAGTTCATAATTACATGAAAGCCAAGTGGACAAAGTGGATTCACTGTTGTGAAATTGAATTCGCCGTTGTGAGTTGCCTCCTTTTGCAAAAGAAAATAATAGCCACTGAAATTTACAGAAGGCGCAATTCATGCTTGGCAACTACAGTAAAAGAGAGGCAAATGCAGTTGCTGCATGCTGACTACGTAAGTAGTACTTAAGTATACTTTTATGTATCTATTTATATTGCAATGTTGTTGTACGTATGCACGCAGGTATAAATAAGCATTTAATGACAAAAGTTTTCCAATTAAATTTCATTAACTACGTCAGTCAAAAAGTTTTTCACTTGACGCTATTTTCATTGTCACAACCTTGGCTTTGACTTGCGCTCCTCTTGCGGCTCACTTAAGCTCTTGAGAATTATGAACTTGTTTTGACAAAAGAAAATTAAAATTCACGCAAAGAAACAAGTTGAAAATGTAAATAGTTGTAACAATAATACTAATTATGCCAACCAACTGTGTAGGTAAGTATAAAAATTGTTATGTTAATGGTGAGTTGGCTGAATCGAGTGAGAGCTTGTATTTGCTTTTTTTTGGCATTGAAAAACGTAACCTTGACCCATGGTTCGGATTTTATTGTGATGATAAAATTAAAGGCGTAATTGTATGAAATCATGATGAGATCGAAGAAAGTCGGGCTAACAATGAGGCGTCCTAAATTAACAGAACAGAATAGGAATGAAATGAAATGGAATGAAAAAAATGCAGCGAAACGAGATGAGCTCAAGTGAAATGGAATTGAAGGTAAACCAAGTGACAGAATGAATCCTATTGGGATGAAATGGAATAAAAATAAAGGAGTTTAATTAAATAGAATGGAGTCGATGCGAATGGTCGGTTTCACACTAGAAAATTTGTGCGACCAGAAAAACTCTGTTTGTAGGCAAGAGAGGCATTTCCACAACCACTCTTACAGATTTTGACAGTTCACGCCGCAGAAGCAAAAAAAAAAAACACATGTAAATTTTGATTTTGTAACCCTGCTGTCACCTTGCAAGTACCGAAATTACTCATTTCTTCATTGTCACTAAAAAAATCAAAATTTTTTTGTAATAATGTGAAGTTTCAAGAGTGACTAAAAAAATGGCACCATGCAGAATATCTGTCGCAGCTGTTTTGAATTTCTTGAAATTTTAAAATTTTTTTTTTTTAATTTCAATAATTTTACATACTACAAAATTTTTAAATTAAACGGTGAAAATATTCTTTTTTCCAAACGGAACGAATCTAGTGTAATAAAACTAGTGTGCCACCAGATAAAAAAAAATTAGATTGATTAAAAGATGACTTTTTTTTTTTGAGAAACTAAAATTCCATTATAACAATTTTTATTGACGCACTCGAAATTCATTCTAAAATCGTTAAGCAAATGAAGAAAGTAAAATATATGTATGTGCATAAAGAATATTTTTTAAAAAGCTTCCACGCCAATATTTAATTACTTTTAAATAATATGACCTTTAAGTTAAGGCGTGCGAGTAAACGTATTTTTTACTTTTTATAGTATATCTTTTTTTAAGTTTTCTTTTAAATACAATTTCGCAATGGAATCTTGCTCATTGTTCAAAACTGAAGATAGTGGTGCATCGTCTTAGATAAGTGTGCCACCCTTTTGGACCAAGTTTATCAGTTTTCCTAAGCCTAATCCTGGATTTCCACTATGCATTAAATGGCGAAAATTGTAATGACAAAGTTGGGCATTAAAAAATAATCGTGTCATTATGTTCAAAAAATAGCCACTAAGTTGATTTCCACATGATATTTTTTAAACGGCATGAATACCATACCTAGTGGAAATTCGGCATAAGAATTGGCAGATGAGAAAAAAAAAGAGTGCGAAATTTGCAACGATAAAAATGTACACTGCTTTAAGTCGTTCTCTAGATTCTCTAGGCAGCGCCACTCTCTTCGCTTCTCCAACTTGTTGACTTCAAATTTTCCAATTCACTTTACTTTCGCGAGCGAGTAATCCCTCAAGTTGGCTGCAATTCATCACTAAACTATCAGTCAACGTGAGTAGCTGAAAAAAATGTTTTCCCCCTTTTTAGCAGCGATCTGTGGCAATAACTAGCACAGCTACTGTTGACCGGCGAGGCCATAAAACACAAATTAAAATGTGAGCCACGAAAAAAAAAAAAAAAAAACAACTACCAAAGCAACTGTGTGAGGAATGGAGTGGGTTACAAGTTTCGCCACATCTGCATACTGCGATTGATTTACGGTGATGCCTAGAGTATTGAAGTGCATTTACGTATACGCAAGCAGTTATTTTTAGCTTGTAAAAAATGTAAAAAAAAAAAAATTATAAAAAATTTTTTCGCCAATTTAGCAATAACTAGCATGTACCTCGCTGCATACCCACGAGACTTGTCCGGCAGTTTTGTGACACTTCGCATGTTATTTTTTCGATTTTGCTGTTGCGCAAACTTTTCAACTTTCGGAAATATTGTCAAAATTTTTATTTTTACTTTTGTTTCTAATTTCTGGCAATGTCTCAGCTACCACCCCGTTCGCACGACTCGCACAAATATGAGTGCACAATGTGCTGGGAGTCAAACCATGTGTCGGGATTAGATTGGCTGCTGCTGTCAGATGAATTTATGGCATTCAGCAAAAATGTTACCCCAAAAGCTCTGCGTAAATACTTGGGCAAACAAGTTTTTTCTGCTCGCTACCGCTTAGATAGTAGCACATTTGTCGTTGTTGTTGGCATTGTAGCGCCACTTATTGACTGCAAAATTGCATAGCTTAGGACGAGTCCAACCCTTCCTCAAATTTTACCAGTCAACGCTTCAGTGCTTGGCAAAATGATGCACGACACAATGTAGCAGTCGAAGCAGCAACTCGATGTACTGCAACTCAAATAGCAACAACCAGTGAGTACACTTCCAAAACATGTCCAAGAAAAACTGCAACAATTTGCATAAATTGACTCTGTCCTCTGAGGTTTATTCACTTCATTTTCTTTGTATTGCTTCAATTTTCCGAGCGCCGTTTCTCTCCTTTTTCCTTGATACTTTCTCCTAGATTTTCTGAGAAGCCAACAATGTCCTGAAAATTATATAATGCCATTGTTGGTTAAGCAAGCAGAAGATGCAGGAGAGGAAGAAGAAATCAAAAGTCGATTGACTGTGGCTGCTCCGGTTGGCTACCAATTTTACGGTGATTTGCAGTTTAACTAAAAAATAAAACTGGTAAATTGTTGCAGGAAAATTTTTGTACGGCTGGTGTAGTTGATAATGAGAATCGCAAAAAGGCATGGTTTTTTTTTTAATAGTATCGGCAGATGGCTTTGGTGCTATTGTGGTAGTGGGTAAGGCACTGTGGTCAATGGTAATCATCTGTTACCACACCTGAATGGTTGGAATCCCCCGGGGCCCGGGTTTTTTAAGGGGTTTGAAATATCAGAACGACAACTTGTTAATATTTTCTTACAATGTAATTGCTCCTTTTTTTTATATAAACAAGTGAACCCGCAAAAAAATTGAATTTCAAAAACTTAACAAATACTCCAAATGTTAGTCAGAGTTATAAGAGATCCGAGTGCCGTATTTCAACTAAAATCGTGAAGCCGTGAAGAGCACTCTCGCTTAGTGCATATTTTTAATTTCACAAAATTTCTAATCACCCTATACAATGGACAAAAATTTTAAATTAAAAAAAAAACGAATGGCCTTATTCATAAAAAATAATATAGGTTTATAGAGTTCTATAAAGTGACATTTTCATACCAATTTTCGATTTATAAAGCAGTTAAAGTATTCTTTATGTTTTATTAAGCTCTTTAATTTGGCCTCTTATTTTTGAAATTCCTCTTCAAAGGTGTTCTCAAACTAAAATTTTCTTAAATCTCGTTCGTCTGACATTGTGTTACACATGTATTTCAATAAACTGATGAACTAATTTGAATTTAGTTGTTCGAACAAAAGGCAACCCTGCTAAATAAATGTCAGGCTTTTCAGGCCCATTTCGATTGATACCCATCTTTTAATAATTCACCCAACTTATTGAATAATTTGAATGTAACTTTTTAAACACGTGGCAACCCTCTTCAAACATTCCAAATGTTCAAACTAAAGATTTCTTAACATTATTTCGTTCGACTGCGGTATTTTTATATTTCATTTACTTTTTGTATTAGGTAATTGAGTTAGAACTTCCAAACAGGTGGCAGCCCTCTTCAATTGTTTTTTCAAACTTAATCCATGTTAACTCTACTTTGCCGGACATTGCGATACATATTTTAATTAACTGATGAATTAAGTGGAATTTGATTTTTCAAACATATGGCAACCCTGCTAAATACTGCTCAGAAATACAAATTTTCAAACCCTTTTCGATTGATACCCATATTTTAATAATTCATTTAACTTATTAAATAATTTGAATTTAACTCTTTAACAGGTGGCAACCCACTTCCAACACCTGAAAAATAT